GTTGCTTGAAAGAAGTTGTTCTCTTGAAGAAGAAGAGATTCGTTGGCCGATTGGGTAGATTCAGGTTGGACAGACATATTGAGTTGTCGGTCAAAGCTGTTTGTCGACTGAGGGAGCAAAGCGCGATTCAGCTGCGGATTATATAGACGCAGGCTATGTCGCTCCTGTTTCGTCCCTTTGAATGTTCCTTTGTAGTCCCATTCGCTCGGAGCTGATTCGGCAAAAGGCAGTGGCACAAACCGAAGCAATGGAATGGATGAAGACATTCGTAGCTCGCGTACTGTAGCACTACATTGGTTTGTTAGAAAGGCGCACCGCCCGCCCGCCTGCACTTCAGCGCTCGCAGCCCCGATCGCGCTCCTTGGGTTTGGATGAACAGCTGGCTGAATGTTCCACAACAAGTCCTCGTCATGTTATAGTTCATACTGTGCTTGACAACTAAGCTTGTGCGAGAGAGACGACAGACAGCTCTAGCAACCGAATCACCATGTCGGGACTCGCGGCTCTCGTCAACGAGTCGTACCAGCTCAACCAGCTCGTACCTAGGGATGATATACCCAGTTTGCAAGTCGGACTGGATGAGATTGTCAGTGGAAGTGCGAGATTAGCGAAACAGAGGCATGCCGGTTCTCATTCCGGTCTGGCGGGCTCGAGACGTGGAGTTACTCCAGTGGATACGGGCAATGCGTAAGCTGCAAGTGTAAGAGTGATATTTGAGACCGAGCTTACGTCCGTTTTTATTTCAGGTCTTACTTGCTCGCTACTCATGGAGTCAACGTCCCGAACCTCAACAATCAAATCAACAACGTCTCGAACGCTCTTCAAGCTGCGGCACCAGCGGGCCTATCTGCACCATCCAGCAATCTGCAGCAGTCGACTTTAGCGCAATCGCAATGGGAACCTCAAACGGGCATTGCTGATACCGATGTTGATGGCTTTCTCCGAGTTCGAAAGGAGATGATTATAATTTCCGCCATCGAAGAGACCCATAGGCGAACTCAACAAGCTGCGGCTGAGGCATATCAGCGAAAGATGCAGATGGATTGGAAAAAGCAAAGAGTCGAGATTCTAGAGGAGCTAGCTGGTTATTCCAAGTCGGACAGCAGCGACTCGAGATCCGGCAATTTGGGAAGAAGTATGCTTGGAACAGTAAGTGGCTATGTATTGTATGATTGGACATTGACTTAGGCTGATTCTCCGTTCATCAGTCCTTGAGCAGATCATCATTGGGTAATAGCACATATGGGTCCAGCAACACGGGAAACCCAGGTGGTATCGATTCGATCGAAGCGCACAAGAGGATGATGGAGTGCGATCAAATCGTCAAGGTACGTGTGACTGCGTCTATACGCCATCGTATGGCTCCAGCTGACACTGTGATTTCATATCTTCAGAGACTGAATTCGTATCGCAAAACGGGAAGAAACCTCGCTCTGTTCAGTTACATGAAGCAAGTCATGGCAAGGGATGGAGACAGCGTATGTTCACGCTGAATCGCAAGCAATCCACTAGAAACTAAAAATCTTTCCTCCTTTGCAGAGATCGCCACTCCTGTCCGATAGCTTTGACATATTAACTTCTATCATCGGCGAGAAGGATGTCCAGGACGGCGAGTTCTTAGGAGAAGCGATACCACAGCGGCATTACGTCAACAACTACTACGCTGAGCAGGGAGAAAGGGAGAGAATAGAGTTGACAAATCGGATTATTAGTGGAGGAAAGCGGTATCTCGAATCCAGGTAAGTCCGAGTCACAAGCCGCCTATGCATACATTGCTAAACCATGCCCACCTAGATTTAAGTCGCTGGTCGAAAAGACGTTGCAGGACAGACAGAGTGAGGCTAAACTAGGAGGCACGCCCGGTATCGTGAACAAGATCCAGGCATATGTACGGCTGACGTTGAGCAACCATCCGTACAAGAACAGCTTTGAAGTGGGTGATTGGCTCAATCAGTCTGGCAAGGCTTTCACTGACCTCTGTGCGCTACTTTCGCGCATCAGCAAATCGACAAGACATACTTCTGGCCGCAGTGCTTTTACCTAATCCGCGCAGGTCACATACAGGATGCGGTCCAGCTTGCTCAGTCCGTCAAGCACGCTTTCAGTAACACGGACAGGAACATACACAGATGGCTGGAGGAATGGGCAAGTTCACCTGATCTGAGGTGTGTTTGAGTGTTGTGCATGTCTGCTGGGTTAATCACTGAAATATACCTTAATCTAGATTGTCGCGAGACAGGCGAGAAAAGTTTGTTGCCCACTGGACGCAACACTATCGCAATCCCCAACAAGTGGATCCCTTCAAGTATGCAATTCACAAGCTGATCGGGCGATTCGACTTGCGCAAGAGCGTCCCAGTAGTAACCGATGCGATGGAAGACTGGACATGGATGCACTTGAGCCTGATTCGAGAGACAGCTAGCGGCAGTACCTACCAGGACGCGACGACTCAGAAGTATACTCTGAGTGATTTGGCGAAAACTATTGTCAAATCAGGCGAAGCACACTTTGACCCTCACGGCACCCGTCCCTTGGTATATTTCCAACAATTATGCATCACTGGTCAATTCGAGCTTGTACGTTCGACCCTTTTTCATGTGCAGGAAATCTCTGAACTAACCTGCTATCCCTCACTAGGCCATTCAATTCTTGTATGAAAAGGCCCGAATGGAGATAGATGCTGTTCATTTTGCGATTGGTCTAGCGTACTATGGAATGCTTAGGGTACCCTCCAAGGAACAGCAATCCGAAACAGGTATCCGTGAGTATTCTGCTCTCTTCTTTCTCTGTGCCGCTTACCGAGCCCTGTTCCGCCGTGCATCCAGTGACAAGCGTCGGAGAGGAACAATATTTCAACTTTGCTCGACTCATTCAGCGATATGTCCGCAACTTTGCGAAATCTGATCCGACAACAGCCTTGCAGTACATTTACCTTATCGGCCTCAACGGGGACCTATCGCCGCCTCTTGGTGAGGAGCAACTTCAAATTTGCTGGGATACCATTGGCCAGCTGGTCATCGAAACCAAGGGATACTCCCTTGTCCTTGACCAACGGACGGCGGAGGGACAGGTCGCGGTAAGCTCAAATCGGCGCTTGAAGACACGCGCCCACTAACCCATCGATCTTTCATAGCCAAGCGTCATATCTCGAGATATAAAGCTTATCAAGATCAGGGATGCGGACACGGCCCTCAAAAACTTGGTCGCACGCCTTGCGAACACTGCATCTGCCGATCTCGCTCTGCACGATCGAATCCAACTTCTGAAGATGGCCGGAAAGTACGATCAGATCTTGCAAGCTCTCAACTCGCACCTGGCAGATTCCCTCGAGCAACAATTCAGCGAATCCGAACTTTCTCAGCCTGATGTCGTTGTCGCGTACAGCAAGCAAACTGTTTCCGCTCTTGCCAACGAACGATTGCCCGTTTCTGCCAAACTTGCAGAGGCCAATGCCATCTTGTGTCGATTGCGAGAGGCAAAGACGGCCGCAGACCAAGGCGACTTTCAAAGGGCTCTCACTGTAAGTAGTTCTGCCGGGCTCACTGTCTTGTATCGTACCGCTTTGCTGAGGGTGGTCGATGAAAATAGAATATCGAGGATAGCAGGGTCTTGCCATTGGACTCTGACGTGCCCGGTATTAGTCGATCCGCAGATCAATTCAAGAACGTCGATGACAACATCACTCGAAAGATCGATCTCATACTGGTTCTCACGATGAATAGCTTGTACGAGTTGCATCAGCAGAAGAAGAGCGAAGTCTACGGAGGTGCAGCGAGGCAAGAGGTACGTCGCTCAGCCAATAAGGCTAACATGAGAAGCTTATCAGGTACTGCTTTTAGGCCATGCAATCGCTGAGACGGAAATCGCGAGCATTGATGATGTTTGCAGGCATGCTGAGGTATCGGATGCACAGCGAGACTTATGCACAACTAGCCAATTTAGGTATGCCTGTCTCGCATTCGATTCGCTTTCGAGCAGTTTGCTGATGTTAAGGATTTCACCAGACGCATTCTTCTAAGCTGCGAGTTATTCCACAGAGCATCCGGTGGTGCATCTTGTTATGATTATTTGCTGTACAGAAGATGGGTCAGGTTTATCGATTAAAAACGAAGATGCATTTCAATCGTTCTTTGCGCTGAGGTCGCTATCTACTGCCCAATGCGCAATTAGCGATCGCATCGACCGCCTCGTTTTAGACTGGAAAGGAGGCGATAGTCTTAATGCGCGAATGATGGCACAATACAGCACTGTCTGTTGGACTGAACTGGTTGATGATTCCAACATAAATGGACGTAATGTGCCTGTCTGAAGTAAGCAAGATACTCGCCCGGCGTCAGACGAGACGAAGCCTGCATGAGTGATTTGCCATCGAAGACATCATGAAACATGGATATCGGTTAGCTAATGGGAAACATCGCCCAACATACATGCTGCTTATTGTCTCGCGCTTTGGTGTACAGTCTATGATTTCCAGCTGTAAAGCCGTTAAGCTACTGCTGACCCGCTTGTAGGTCCGGTCGGGTGGGATAATCTGCTCGTCGTTGGCACTTCTTATGCTTCAGGGATCAATCCATGGGTCAACCTGCCCGCACAGTCGAATATGGCAAGTCCAACAAACAAAAACCTTTGATGTGCTGAAACGGTGAAAATAAGATGCGAGTACAAATTGGAGAAACCCCACCAGATAAACGTATCATTGTCATCCCCGTGCCGCTGAACTTCCTGTAGGAGAAAGGCGAGGAGGAGTCACATAGATATGACAGTAGTCACAGCTTTCTCTCTTCTCCTCGTTTTTCAAAGCAGACAAGATAAGTATCTTAGTGGATCATTGAAAGCTTGAATTTCCCCCTACATCCAACAAAACCTCCGCTGATCCTGTACCGTATGGTGCGATGTTACAATGGGGCTTTGAGAAGCTGGTTCGGAGAAGAAGGGACGGAAAGAAAGAAAACACTGAAACTGACGTCGAGTTCTGCTAAACACATTTCCCGACAACCACAGCCCGTGTAGTGTAGATGGTTATCACTGTGGATTCATAAGCTTCGAGCGTATGAATAACCCGCCAACCCGAGTTCGAGTCTCGGCACAGGCAAGATTTTTGCTTGTTTGAAGATGAGGACGTATTCTGGAACATTTTTTTTTCAAAAACCACCAGTCTGTCCTTTTCCAGTTCCCAGTTCGACATGCATTTTTATGCTTCGATGATGAGACGAAGTAGGGACGTAGGGACAAGCCGTGGTACTGGCGATGAAACACTTTAGCACTCTTTTGATCAATATAGAAACCAGATAATGCCATTTTTGGTACGCTGGGTGCCCTTTATGCGGCATAAACGACGTCCCTCCGCCGTACATCGTGATCCGCCTTGAAGCCGTCTAGTGCTGTCTGACTGTTCCCACATTGTGACCTTTTTGCCCACAGTCAAGCTAAGCAAGTCCTACGAGTTCTTGGCACGGCGAAGCGGCCGAAATCAGTTTCAGACCAAGAGGTTCCGGTAGGCCGTTCTGTGCGACTGAAGAATGGTAAGGCGACAACCTCAAGGATCAGACACCACGTCAGACGGCGAGTAAGAAAGTGCGCGCAATCAGTATGACGCTTGGATTCGTCCCAGAGAGGGATGATTTCGATCAGTGCCGACGCTTAGTGTATGCTGTCTTCGCGGTGATTCAGGGGCTTCGGAAACTTGGTACATCTGCCCGCCGACTGACCATCGCCCGCGAGCGATGAGTGTGCTTGCACGGTTTGCACTCGTACGTGTATCATGTCTCTCTTCATGATCCTTACCTTCCGCGGTGGTCGATACCCAAGCAACTCAGGTCAATACAGACCTTACCTTCAGATAATATGCTGCAATAACGGGTTGCGCCACTCGTTGCATTTTCAAGACAGTCGCACGCCGTGACACCGAGGCAAAAAAAAGATAAAGCAAGCAGACGTGCGGCGAATTCTGCCTCGGACCATGGGCAATGGCCACATTTTCCGCTCGTTAGTGCGACAACCTACATCGTAAATATCCACTATCCGTAATTGACGTGGACGGAAATCAACCTTCGGGTCCAGCGAGACGCAGATGGGAACGAGCGTCAAATAAAGGGCATCCGCAGAGCTACCGGGACTTTGTAACGAGCACTAATTCGAGTAACATTCTTGGTTTCGCGGGGTCCAGGCGCATCCCTACAAGTTGACCTGAGCGGCTCAGGTAAATTACACCAGCTAACCACGCTTCGTTTTCCCATGCCGCACTTCCTACTGACAAGTCAGCCATACAACAAACTAGTTGACACGGAAAACATCGTAACTCATCGGCGTAATGTCCTGCTCTTTATCGTTGATCACTTTCCAATGAATTTCGACATCCACCTCTCTTTGGTTATCGTGACCCTTGACGCAATTGAACGTTCCCTTGATCCGTTGTCCTGCAGTGGGCAAAACGTCAAGTACCGTCCCCATACAAGCGCACATGCATGGAGCGACCTCACTCACCTTGTTCAAGCGACACTGGTTGCTTGAGCATAAACACCACTTGTTTCCAATGGGTAGGTTTCCCTCTCGGACCAGTCGTAAAGCTCACATCAGCTTTATCCGAGTTGACGCTCTCAATGGATCGTTCGTAAGCGTCATCAGAGAAGAATTCGGTAGAGCAATCTTGCGATGACGGCGCTTGACCGAATACCGATGAGTCGTGCGAGAAAAAGGTATCAAACCACGTGATGAAAGCTCGGATCTGTACAGCGGATCCGCTGGTGGACGGCTTGGCAACAAGCTCGAAATCCGAGTGAAAGTCGAGCGACTTGACGGTTGCAGCATGAGTATTGATATCCTACGTGCAATCAAACCCGTTAGACAATTGTAATATAAAATTCACTGCGATACTCACCTTGACAATCGTCTCCGAAGTACAGATTTCTTCAGGCTTGACGATCTCAATCAGTCCATCCTGGCATCGCGTTGGCCGCATGGCGGACATGTCAAAGCCTGCGAGATGTAATTCAGCACATGCCACGAAAGTGGTCAACGGCACAGGACTAACCGTAAACGTTATCCCAGAAACCGAAACCTTCGTCCCAAAGCTGTTGACCAGTAATTCCGGCCAAGATAATTCGGGTCTGGGACGGCACCATGAGTCCTCCGGGTGCGAGGAAACGATCTCGAGCGCTGTAGAAAGGGAGGAAAAGTCAACACCCCTTTTGAACAGGCAAAGGCAGATAGCAGGAGGCGAACGACTCACTGGAGAACAGAGTCCAGCATGGCCTCGTAGAGAAGCATATAACCCTGCATGTGCAGTGTCTCAAGGTCAATACCACAGCGCATTTGGTAGAGTTTTGATTGCACTCACCATCCATTCGCTGATGATCACGTCGACGTGCTGAACGGGCAACTGAATTTCCTCCACCTTTCCTTGAATAACGCTGAAGCACAGAAGCATCGTCAGGCAAGCGCTTAGAGGATTCTATCGTCGATACGTACGTGATGACACCCTCCAAACCGTTGTTCTTAATGTTTTGCCTTGCCTTGTTGGCAAAACCGGAAGCTTCGATAGCATATACGTGCTTGGCTCCCGCCCTGGCAGCAAACACTGAGAACGCAAGAATAAGAACCTCAGACCCATGAAAGGACCTACGACCGAAATCAGGATACGTACTGGAAAGAATGCCAGTACCACAGCCGACGTCCATGACCAGCTTGTCCTTGAAAACAGCGGGGTTGGACAAGATGAAACGGCCGTACGAGACAGTACGCGTAGTGTCTCGGAGCATCAGCTCGTGAATGTCTAGCGTTTCGAGGGATAAGTCACATCGCCATTGTTTCCACCCCTGCCGACTCACCATTCGCAGCGTAAGAGTCAAAGTAGTATGAATCATTGTCCTTGGGCTTCTTGACCTTTGCTCCGTTACCCTTGTGCGCACTCGCTTTGCCCTTTCCCTTCACGTCCGCGTTCTCATCGTCACTCGTAGAACTTTCGGAGATGTCGGCAGTATCATCTTCCCCTAATGCCTGAATCAGCTCCTTCAATCTGATTCCGAGTGTTGATGTTCCGTCGTTGGTCGCTGTAGATTGGGTGGCTTCACCGGTTTTATAAGAGGGCTTCGCTCGTTGCGGCGCAGACGATTCGTCTTCATCATCGGACCATGAATCATCAAAACCGACCTCTGATAAGTAGCGGAAGAATCGAAAGTAACAGTAAGCACTTCGCATACGAGTGAGATTGCTTGAGGACTCTTACGAAGTAGGGGATCATTCTCCAAGACTGGAATAAGGTATTTATCGTTTTCAAAGAGAGGATTGCTCTTTTCCAAAGTCTCTCGGATATTCCTCACTTGGGGTTTCTGCCGTGGCCGACAAAAGACATGGATGAGGCATAGTCCATGTTATGCAACAGTGTAATCGCACTTACCTCTTTTCGAATGTAGTTTACTAGTCTGATCCGCGCATAGTCATCCTTCAAGCTCAACTTCGCGAGAACTTCATCAAGGTTGAAACCATGTACTCGGGCATCATATTCGATAGCCTCTTTAGGAGAATCGAGGAGCGTGTCGTCGAACAGGGATTGTGTGCGGTAGGCGCCGTGTAGGGAAGAAGCCCAGTCGGAAAAGTTTGCCGATTCCGCAGATTCGCTTGACGATCCCGACGATGCAGAGGAAACTGATGGAGTTCTGTTGATACGAGGCATGTTGTGTAAAGAGGCTTATTGCAGGAACGCCTCTGCCAGATTTGCTTTATGGTTTATTACCATCGCTATATTTCGAAATTATTTGAGCACTCACACAACCTGAAACACGGAAATGATCAATCATCAGCTTCCGCATATTACCTAAGCACACCAGCGCCCTGCAACGTGTTCCTCAGTTTCTCAGTCTTTCGTCACCAATGAGATGCGTTATCACAAAGTTGATCAGTTGTCCAGTGTCCATCTTATAGCATACCAGATACCAGATATCCCTCGCAAAAGGGACAAGATGTCGTCTCACGATTTTTCCTTGCACGAAGCACTGAATGTGTAGGTTGGCGCACCGAAGATCGACCTGGATACCGTGTACTTACTGCCTTTCTGATTCCTCTCTAATAGGTACATCTCTGGCGATGCCTATATCTTCGAGCCGGCAAACACTGTTCCCTTTTCCGCAGCATACCCCAATGAAAAGGCAACAGAACAGGTGCTGCGTGTGGACCGGCGTACCGGTGACATGCATCTCGAGTCGGGTCACGGATCGTCAGAAACTGGACACATTGAAGGGGACATGGTGATTACCTGTTATGGAATTGTCGGATATATTACTTTGGCTACTAGTGAGTAATCTGTCTGCGGGATCATTCAAGTCTAATCTGCTTAGCCTGAAATCTATTCGCAAGCCGACTTCTTGATCATCATCACCTCGCGAACCGCATCTTGTCGCCTGCTCTCGCAGTCTATATACCAAGCCACGGATTTCCGACTCCTGCCTCTCTCCAGCCAGTCAACGACGTCTGTCATACTGGATAACCCCATCGAAAAGGAGCTTGTTTCCCTTGTCGAGAATGGACTTCGCAACGGAAGGCTCTGGTTTTCGTACGGCTGGGACCTGACCAACAGTCTCCAAAGGCAGTTTGAAAGAGCGGAGAAGAGCAATATTCCTCAGGACGTTGTTAGCAAAGAGGCAATATGGAGAAAGGCGGATGATCGGTTCTTCTGGAACAAGTACCTAATGACTAGGATAATTGAACAAACTGAACGGGGAGGCCAAGGGAACGATGTAAGCCAAATTCCCTGAATCTTCGCATGTCATACTTACCTTTCAGGACTTTTGTTCCACTTGTATCAACAGCTAAGCAAATTCATGTTACCTCTGCTCTTCGGATGTGAGTGTTTGCAAGCCAAAACACCTTGGCTGGTCACTAACCCGTTTTCGGAAACAGCTATAGAAATGAGGCAATCCAGCATCAACAACCGAGATCTCCTCTTCTGCTTGATCTCCCGTCGCTCGCGGTACCGTGCGGGAACACGATACTTTACTCGAGGAATCGACCCTACCGGCCATACCGCAAACTATAATGAGACCGAACAACTTGTCTTGCTAGACCCTCTTGATCGTGCCACAGGTGAACCACTGCATA